TTCCAAGTTCCTTTCCTTTCTCTGCCAAAGAGTGCTGGTGCCTCCCCAAACTACAGCTGCCCTGATCCCATAGCATTGAGCCTAGCAGTTAAAACTGCATTCATCCCACACTGGAAAGGCACCCTCAGTTATTGTGACCAGTTTAATTCCATTTCTAAGTGTACTTTCTGCATGTTTTTCGTTGTGTTGCTTGTTTAAGTTGTGTCTCAATTAAGGGAAGCAAAGAGGGATAATAAATACACAGACAAAAAAAGTTGATGAGGAGCAGGACAGTGGTTGGTGAAAGAGGGAAAGTGGGACCTAAAAGGTGGAACGGGCACCTCAAGGAGCATCTAGTCCAGCCCCTGCTCCCACTTTAGAGCCAAGTTTAGGGCTTTATAGGCTAAGGCCAGCACAATTCAAACAAAAAAGTTGATGGGCAGAGCAGTGGTTGGTGAAAGAGGGAAAGTGGGACCAAAAAAGGTGGAACAGGTTACCCTCAAGGCCATCTAGTCCAGCCCCTGTTCCCCCTTTAGAGACAAGTTTAGGTCTTTATAGGCTAAGGCCAGCACAATTCAAAGTGCTGGCCTTAGCCTATAAAGCACTAAATGGTTCTGGCCCAACTTACCTGTCTGAACGTATCTCCCCTTACAAACCACTGAGGACTTTAAGATCGTCTGGGGAGGCCCTGCTCTCAGTCCCGCCTGCATCACAAGTGCGGTTGGTGGGGACGAGAGACAGGGCCTTCTCAGTGGTGGCCCCTCGGCTGTGGAACGCCCTTCCCACAGAAATTAGATTGCCCCCCCCTCCCTGTTCACATTTCGGAGGAAAGTGAAGATCTGGTTGTTTGAGCAGGCGTTTGAATAGGCAGTGTAACTAATATAGAAATATGGAACATTTGGATGATGAGACTGGATCTTGATATTAACTATGAGATGAGATGAGATGTTATGATGTTTATTGATTGTTATAATATTATTCTTTTAACTTGTTTTTAACTGTTTTTATCATGTTTAAGTATTGTATTTGCTTTGTTAACCGCTCTGAGTCGCCCTGAGGGCTTATTTATTTATTTATCATGTCAGTGCAACCAGTCGATTATATTACATTTCTAACACAACAAAGCAAAAAAACAAAAAAAAACAAAAAAAAAACAGCCAAAATACAAAAATTGTGAGTTTGGTAGTTGATTAAATGTCCTTTGACCAGTAGCTGGCCACTTGGAGTGCTTCTGGTGTTGCCGCAAGAATGTCCTCCATGGTGCATGTGGCGGGGCTCAGGTTGCATTGCAGCAGGTGGTCAGTGGTTTGCTCCTCTCCACACTCGCATGTCGAGGATTCCACTTTGTAGCCCCATTTCTGAAGGTTGGCTCTGCATCTCGTGGTGCCAGAGCGCAGTCTGTTCAGCGCCTTCCAAGTCACCCAGTCTTCTGTGTGCCCAGGAGGGAGTCTCTCATTTGGTATCAGCCATTGGTTGAGGTTCTGGGTTTGAGCCTGCCACTTTTGGACTCTCGCTTGCTGAGGTGTTCCAGCGAGTGTCTCTGTAGATCTTAGAAAACTAGAAAAGAGAAGCCCTGAGGGCTGAGAAGAGCGGTATACAAATACAGTAAATAAATAAATAAATAAATAAGTTTATTTATTTTTTTACAGTACTTATATTCTGCCCTTCTCACCCTGCAGGGGACTCAGGGGCATTACAATGTACACATACATGGCAAATATTCAATGCCATGGACACACAACACATATAGACAGACAGTCAGAGGCTATCTAACATTCCAGCTTTTCTGGCCACCAGGGGAGCTGTCGCTTCACCGTCCATCTGCAACACTGACAAAGTACTTCCTCATTCCCCACATGCTGGATATTTTTTTAATGGCTTTATTAATTAATTAACTTAGCCTCCCTACATAAGTGGTACCTAATTTTCCTACTTGACAGATGCAACTGTCTTTCGGGTTGCAAAAGTCGACAACAAGCTACACAACATTGGCTGGAAGCTCACTCCATCCCGGGCTGGCTTCAAATCCATGACCTTTCAGTCAGTAGTGATATTAAGTTGTGCAGGAGGATTAAAGAATCCTTTGTTGTTGTTGTTTATTTGTTCATTCGCTTCCGATTCTTCGTGACCTCATGGACCAGCCCATGCCAAAGCTCCCTGTCAGCCGTCACCACCCCCAGCTCCTTCAAGGTCAAGCTAGTCACTTCAAAGATACTATCCATCCATCTTGCCCTTGGTCGGCCCCTCTTTCTTTTTCATTCAGCTTTCCCCAGCATCATTGTTTTCTCTAAGCTCTCCTTTCTTCTCATGATGTGGCCAAAGTACTTCATCTTTGCCTCAAATATCCTTCCCTCCAGTGAGCATTCGGGCTTTATTTCCTGAAGTATGGACTGGTTGGACCTTCCTGCGGTCTAAGGCACTCTCATAACTTTCCTCCAACACCACAGTTCAAAAGCCTCTATCTTCCTTCGCTCAGTCTTCCTTATGGTCCAGCTCTCACATCCGTAGGTGACTATGGGGAATACTATTGCTTTAACTATGTGGATCTTCGTTGCCAGTGTGATGTCTCTACTCTTCACTATTTTGGGAATTGTAGTTCACTTACATCCATATGCATTTTCTGACTTTTTCTATCAAATAGCATTACAAATTACCTAACCTAAGTTAGCGTAAAATAAAAATGACTTCCAAACTCCTGGGACTGATATCCACTGGAGCTTACCATAATAGCATCATGCTGGAGGCATCCTCTCTAGAAATTTTCTAGGTCCCCCATGTAATTCTGCAGTGTGCTTCCACCAGATGTTACCATAGAGCCACATTGGAGGACCTTTCCCTTGATAGATTGTCACCATGTCATGTTGAGGGGGCTTACGTGTTCAAATCAACCTGCAGGCATAACCATCAAAGTCATGTGCACCCAGTAGGGGCCACGGGAGGATCCAGACCAAGAATAATCTGAAGACGTCAATGGTGGAACAGACAGATGACAACATGGTACATGTTACAATGGCTTTGAAGATGGAAGAAGGCTGCAACAGATGAGAAGCCACTGTTGTCATGTAAACCATGCCACTGGATGGGACCTTCATTCTGCGAAGATCTTCACACATAAATCAAATTCACGCACGAAAATTAAAACAAAATCAACAAAACTCTTATGGTGTTCAGCGAGTGGCAATAGGGGCAGGACTGTGAAATCTGGAAACCCCTAGTCACAGACTGACAGATGGGTGGTGGATATGGATTCAGTCATTCTACCTCCAGGTCCGAGGAAGTTGAGTAGTCCAGCAGCTGCATCCATGACTGTGCAGCACTTTTTAGGATCCATGCACTTGACCCGCCCTTGTTCATTTTATTTTGTGATTTTATGTATCTTGTTCTGATGTAATTTTTTTCGGTTGTTTTGTATTTTATTTTACTGTATTGTATTTTTGGGCTTGGCCTCATGTGAGCTGCCTCGAGTCCCCTTCAGGGAGATGTTGGCTGGGTATAAATAAAGGTAGTTATTATTATTATTATTATTATTATTATTATTATTATTATCTTTTCATGGTTGCCTATTCAGTGAGCAGTTCCATTCCAGCCCTGCATCTTTGCTTTCCTAACTCTTCCCCTTTAATATCTGAATGCCTCCTTTATTTTCTTTCCGTTTTCCAGGCAGAAAGCTACATGCAGATGTTTAGACTGCTCCTGTAGCGTCCAGCATTCCCCACAGTTTCAGGCTACTATCCAAGGATGGAAATGGAGACTCGAGAAGACATTACAAGTTTTATACCAGGGCAGGTGCTACGGGAAGCGAGAGGGAGCTGCCATGTTGGGACGACAGAGGCATTCCTGCCAAAGAGACCAATGGAGGTGAAGCAGGAGCCCAACAAAGACTCGCTTCAGCAGTGGGAAACCCAATGGCAGGAGTTCCTGAAGAGTGTGGAAGGTCCTCACTCAAACTGGGGGGCCTCTGAGTCGAGGGAGGGGCCATGGGACGACGCCAAAGCCTTCCTGGCCTCCTTTGAGCAAGTGGCCCAAGCCTGCCGATGGCCCAAGGAAGAGTGGGTACCCCGGCTCCTGCCAGCATTGAGTGGAGAGGCCAAGCGAGCCTTCACCAGCCTAGAGACTGAAGACAGGGAGAATTATGGGAAAGTGAAGGCTGCCATCTTGCATGTAGATGCCATGTGGCGAGAGGAGCAACGGCAGTGTTTCCGGCATTTCCGCTACCGAGAAGCCGAGGGACCAAGAGGGACTTACGGCCAGCTTCAGGAACTGTGTTGCCGGTGGCTGAAAGCTGAAAGGCATTCAAAGGAGCAGATCCTGGAGCTGCTGATCTTGGAGCAGTTTTTGGCCGTCCTGCCTCCAGAGATAGAGGCCTGGGTCAAGGAATGTGGTCCAGAGACCTGTTCCCAGGCCGTGGCCTTGGCTGAGGACTTCCTCCAGAAGCAGCGAGAGGAAGAGGCCAGGAGGCAGGCAAACCAGGTGAGGACAGTTCATTTGGTTCCAGGCTTCCCAAAGGGCTGTTTTGTGCAAGGTGCCAACAGATCTTCATTTATCAAGCCAGGGTGTGTGTTTTGGTATGAAGATAGTAAAATGTAGTCAGTATGGGGCTATCTTAGGTCTCTCCTCTCCTCAGTATCTCCTCTGCTCCAGTTGTTAATTCTCAGTTTACTGTGTGGTTTTATAAAGGCCTCTTTTGTGCCTGAAACCGCCATGGAAGGAGAAAAACAATTCCCATAAGGAGATGAGTTTTTAATTTAAGAAAAAAGTTTAAATACAGTTGGGGTGAGGAGTGTTCTGCAAAGGGCAAATGCAGCCCCATCAAATGTCCAGGCAGTAGATTGAAAGTGGGATTATGACTTGCGAAATCTTGGTTCAAAACCCTAGTGGACCACAAAATGCATTGTGTGACTATGGGCTAGTTATTTTCTTTGGCTCTGATCTGCCTCGCAAATATTTTGAGGACTATGTAGAGCAGAGGAAAGCCATATATGTAAAATATACATTTAGCTAACAAGTGATACATATTTTAGGTGCTGATGGAGGAAGAGGAGATGGTGGGTTCCCCTGAAGCTGGCCAAGCCCTGCCTGAGATGGAGCAGAAGAAGCCTAGTATGAAGACCAAACAGGAAGATGATGACGGAAATGCTGGACTCTTGGGTAAGAAGAACAGGCTGTTTGTTTCCTTGTACTACCCACAGCACTGTGACTGTTTCTCCCTTTGAATAGGGCCTTCCCTTAGACCAGTGGTTCTCAACCTGTGGGTCCCCAGATGTTTTGGCCTTCAACTCCCAGAAATCCTAACAGCTGGTAAATTGGCTGAGATTTGTGGGAGTTATAGGCCAAAACACCTGGGGACCTATAGGTTTAGAGCCAGTTCCTTAGACCTTTGGATTGCCTGAGCCCAAGGTTCTGCCAGGTACATGGGGCTCCCAGCTCCTTTAATGCTTTGCCAGAGATGATTGAAGGTTGTCATATCTAGAAGGTCAAAGTTTCCCCTTCCATGGGGTAAGTTAAGGGATTGCATGGGCAGACCCCTGGCCTGGAAATCCTCATCATCTCTGGTCAGTCCTCACCTGGATTATTGTATTATTCCAGAGGAAACATACCATAGAATCACACTGGAGGATCTAGCAAATTCCTCGAGAGATAATTTTCCCTTAAGTGTAAATAAGCGAAATTGTACATGTGGATTCTGCTGTTTTGGAAGCTATAAAATACTTCTAGTATTGTGAGTAATGGGGTTATCGGTGGGTCCTGTAACGGCATAGAGTGATAGAGTTGGAAGAGACAGCACGGACCATCCAGTTCATCTCCATTCTGCCACGCTCAAAGTACCCCTGACAGATGGCCATCCCATCACTGTTTATAATTATAATTTTTATTCTGAAGAAAAAAAATCTGTAGTGATACAATAAAAGAGGGGGAACGTTTCATGAGTATAGAAAAGTGGGAAATAAAGTGAGAAATAAAGAAATAAACTAATTTCTAAAAGAAGAGAGAGAAAAGAAAAGGAAAAAAGAAAAAAATTCCTAAAACAGAGCAAGAGTGGAACAGAAATTTGGTACTTCCTATCTTTGCCTCGAAGAACTAGTATCTAAGGTAAAGGTAAAAGGGAGTTATTTATATAGAGCTAGTCCTTTTAAAGTTTGAATTCAATCATTCCGTGTATTTCATATAATAGCTTCTTCTACTATTATTTCCCATCACTGTTTAAAAACCTCCAGAGAAGGAGACACCACATTTCCTGCAATAATGCGTGGGCACAGTTGCCGTCTTAGTTTGTGGCAAAGTCCTGTACCTTTCTCATAATCTGTGTTGTGTGTGGGACTCACATAAATGTCCCCTATAAAACAACTGGTTTATATTATGCACTCTTACAACAAAAACAACTTGCAAGTAGGTTGTTGTAGGTTTTTCGGGCTGTATAGCCATGTTCTAAAAGCATTTTCTCCTGACATTTTGCCTGCATCTATGGCAGGCATCCTCAGAGGTTGTGAGGTCTCACATCCTCTGAGGATGCCTGCCATAAACGCCAGGAGAAAATGCGTCTAGAACATGACCATACAGTCCGAAAAACTTACAACAACCCAATGAAGCCTTCGACAACAAGCAAGTGTGTGGAAGTGTGTGGTCTAAGCAGACCACGTGGTCTGCAGCCCCTCATACAACTTCTCAGGAAGCTGCATATCAGAACACAGATACAAAACAGTAAGCAACAGGCTCATACATAAATAGATGACTAGAGAAGGTTTGAAGAAGGTTGTCATTTCCAACACCACCTCTATTTAAAAACCTCCAGAGCAGGAGACTCCGCATTACCCGAGAAGATGACTGGGCACAGCTGCCCTCTTAGTTTGTGGCAAAGGCTTGTACTGTTCTCATAGTTCATGTTGTGTGTGGGTTGATGATTGTTATTATGCCTGTTGAAAGATCTGTATAAGGGAAATAATCTGCATAAATAAACACGAAGCTTGTTGAACTACAGAAATGGATGCTGTGCAATGAACAGAAGGAAAGGAAAAACGGTCTACAGTCCAATTTCTCTTTCAGATCTTATCCAAGATTCAGAAACTTTCACACACTATACAATTTTCCTTGGTCAGTGAAAAGACAGAAAGGAGGGATGATCTTAACTTCCCCAGGGAAGAATTTCCAAAGACTTGGGAGCAACCAGTGTGTCTCGTTCCCCCTAAACCTTTCTGAGAAGCTTTCGTGTGGCATTATTAGGCTGGGTCTTAATTTGCCCTCTGCTTTATTTCCAACAGCTGATGAATGGAAAAGTGAGCATGAGGGGCAACTAAGTGAGGACTCCTCGCAAAGAACAGAGTATGGACCTTTGAAGAGGAAGGTTTGGAACCTCGATGGGCGAGCGAGCCAAGACGGAAGCCGTATGGAGAAGCCAAAAGCCAAACTCTTCCAGTTACCGGTGGGAGACTTCCACGAAATTGCAGTCCAGCAGAAAAGTGAAAAAGGCAAGAAGGGGATTGCTTTCCCCAGTGTTCATTGGAGAATTCACCCCGAGGATCAAACTGATTTGATGTTTGTAAAGACTTTCAATCAAAGTGGAAACCTCACTGAATGTGAAATGCTTTCTGAAGGGACAGGTTCGTACATATACCTGAATCAAAGCACTTCTGCAGATGAGAGACAGTATATGAATTCGGACCTTACGCAGGAGTTGGAAGAGAGGTCTGAGGGGGATTTTCAGATGGAGTCTCCCGAAAGTTTTCCCACGTGTGGTCGTGCCTCCCCAGTTGGCAGTGGGCGGAATGAGGGACGTGTAGGTTTTGAGGGTGGACCTTTACCCCTGGTGCTTGGAAGGCCTAGGTCCTCCGTCTGGGACCACTTCCAGGTGCGGCTAGAGGATCGCACGCAGGCGGTGTGCAAGCACTGCAAAAGAAAAGTCAGTAGGGGCAAAAATATAAAACATTTGTCTACGACGGGGATGCAGATGCACCTCAAGAGGCACCACCCCTTGCAAGCTGGCATGACTCAGACTGGGACTGGTTGCGGCATAAGCAGCAGCAAGACTCCTTCCAGCCTGCCTGCGGCTGGAAGGGAGAAGAGGCAGGCCACCCTAGAGCAGTGGGACACAATCAGGGCCAAGGACAGCGTGGGTGGCAAGCTGCCCACGGTCAAGGAGATCACCCAGTGCTTGGGAGAGATGCTGGCTCTCGACAACCTGCCCTTCCTGATGGTGGAGCAGGAAGGATTTTGTCGCTTGATGGCACTGGTGGCTCCCCACTACAAGGTCCCCTCACATACCACCTTCTCAAGGACAGTGGTGCCATCCCTGTATCGTGGCTGCAGGGAACACATCGAGCAGTTGTTGGATGGCGCCGGATGGACGTCCATCCATTTCACCACAGACATTTGGTCTGGCACCGGTGAGGGCAATGCGTACCTCTCCCTCACAGGGCACTGGTGGGAGAGAGAGGGCCCCAAGGAGACAGGGCATCGCTGGGCCCTGCTCCACGTCGAAGTGATGGACAAGGCCCACACGCCTGCCGAGATCCACCAGGCCATAGACCGCATGCTGGAGGAGTGGCTGTCGGAGAGGCAGCAGCTCAGCCGTGGTTTTATGGTAACGGATAACAGGGCAAATATTGTACAGGCAATGGAGGACGCCGGCTTCCGAGGTGTGAGCTGTCTGGCGCACATGCTTCACCTCACCATCTGTGAAGGGCTAGGGCTGGCTAGTACTCCCTCTACAGAGACCCTCTCGAGTGGCGTCCAGGACATCACTAAACTGATTGATCGGTGCCGCAAGATCGTGGACCACCTCCACTGCAGCGTCAAGGCTAGAAGACTGCTACGGGGGAGGCAGGCCATGGATTGGGTCCCACAACACAAGCTGTTGCTGAACGTCCCCACCCGATGGAGCTCCACTTTCTTGATGCTACAGTGGCTTGTGGAGCATCAGGAGGTGATCCAGCGTCTCGCCCTGGAATTGGAGGGTCTCGGCCCTATGCAGATGCCCCTGTCAGCGCATGATTGGGACTGCATCTCCCAGCTGGTCTCCGTGCTCCAGCCCTTCCTGGAGGCCACAGAGACCCTGAGTTCTTCAACAGCCCTTCTCAGTCACGTGATCCCTCTGGTGCTGGGACTGAAGGAGCACTTGGAAAGTCTAGGGAGGGGCAGTTCGCTTCCAACCCTGGCTGGGACGTTGACCCCCCAGGTGCAGGCGGTGGTGACATCCTTGTCTAGTGCCGTCACCAAACACTTGGAGCCACTCTTCAGCAGTAGGGCGCACATGTTGGCTGGCATGTGTGATCCACGCATGAAGGTCACCGTATGCGCCGACAATGCGGCTGCACACTGGAAGGCTGAACTGGTGTCAGCGGTCAGGGCAGCATACCTGCACAGGGGCGGAGAGGGAGAAGGTGAGGCTGGCACACTTGGTACCACCACCTTGTCACCCTCATCTGCACCAGAGACCCTGAGCAGCACTACTAGCAGGGAATCGCCTGTCCCCATGGCTGGCAGGCGGCAGCATCAGGAGAACGGGTACTTTACCAGGGCCTTGGCAAAGATGGTTGGGCCCAAGTACAGGAGAGACAAAGCGGAGGTTTCGGTAAACCAGTACCTGGAGGAGCCGGTGGAGGATCTATCCTGCGACCCCTTGGCTTACTGGGCATCCCGGAGCCAGATGTGGCAGGATCTGGCAACGGTTGCCCGGGAGCACCTCAGCTGTCCTCCAACCAGTGTGCTGAGTGAGAGGGTGTTTGGCATGGCTGGAGATGTTGTCACACGTCACTGGACCATGATGGACCCTGCCTTAGTGGAACAGCTGGTGTTCCTCAAGACCAACCTGCCCCTTCTGGGTTTCCCGGACTTGGACCCCCAGCTGAGTTGAGTGTGGCAGGCACTCACTGGTGCTGCAGAACTCCCACTCCCTCAATTTGAATTTGCTGACATTTGCAAATTCATCATGTTTCCTATTATCATCATGTTTCCTGCTATCCTAAACGCCGAAAATGACTTTTTTTACAGGGGATGAGTGGCTGGGTGCATATTTAAAGTTAATATCAGCATGTCTAAATAAATATATTTCCAGGTTTTGATTTCCAAGCTCATTCATTGTTTTTTTGTTTTTTCTTGGAATGACCAATAGACATTCTGTTGAAAAATTAACATTATAGTATTCCCTCACTCATCACGGGTGTTACGTTCCAGGACCACCTGCGAAAAGTGAAAATCCGCAAATTAGGGGCGCTATATTTATTTTAATGTTTATAATAATAATAATAAATAATAAAATTTTATTTATACCCCGCTCCATCTCCCCCAGGGGGACTCGGGGCGGCTTACATGTGGTCACACCCATCAGTACAATAAACACAATATTACACAAAAACATAACAAAACCGGAAAATAAAATATATAAAATGCAAAACCAATATAATAGACGACACAGCAATATAAAATCAAACATTAAAACACAAAGGAATTACACTGGGCGGGGCCAAAATTTAAAATTTTAAAACATTGAGAGATACGGCAATGTAAAATTGTCAGGATACATTATTTTAGTAGTTATACACTATTTTAAGTCTTTATAAACCCTCCACACACACTTATACACTGCATAACCCTTCTTGAACATGTTCACGTAATCCTCGGCTCCGGCTTTATCCTCAGAGGCGGCCTCTCCATACAGACGAATGCTCTTAAGTCCATATTGAAAAACTGCGAAACAGCGAGTCCGCAAAAAGTGAACCACAAAGTAGCAAGGGACCACTATATAGTTTAAGGAATAAATACCTTGAGTATAAAGTAACAGCAATGAGCAAGGAATTGGTTTTAGCCTAATCCTCATAATGAACTCCAGGACCTACTCTTGCAACCAAAGGTAGATACAGTAGAGTCTCGCTTATCCAGTCTTTGCTCGTGTAACATTCTGTTTTATACAACACAGTCTGCCCCCCGAATCCACAACTGTTTCAATACATGCCAAGAAGGACATTTCATCTTTGGCTCCATTCACAGCCAGGTGTAGTAGCCGAGGATGAAACATTGACTGTAGTGTGGTGTAGACACTCTGTGCCAGAGATCTGTAGGCCAAAACAAGAGAACTACAACACAGAGTGCCCAGTTCTGGGACTTCCAGTTAGGCCGTTAGGGCAGTGTTTCTCAGCCTGGGGGCCAGGACCCCTGGGGGGGTTGCAAAGGGGCATCAGAAGGGTTACCAAAAACCATCAGAAAAACAGTATTTTCTGATGGTCATGGGAGTTTTGTGTGGGAAGTTTGGGCCAATTCTATGGTTGATGGAGTTGAGAATTCTCCTTGATTGTAGGTAAAACTATAAATCCCAGCAACTACAGCTCCCAAATGTCAAGGTCTGTTTTCCCCAAACTCCACCAGTCTTCACATTTGGGCATATTGATTATTCGTTCCAAGTATAGTCCATATCTATTACTGTTTGTGTCCACAGTACTCTCTAAATATAGGTGAACTTGAAGTATGGACTGGTTGGATCTTCTTGCAGTCCAAGGCACTCTCAGCACTTTCCTCCAGCACCACAGTTCAAAAGGATCTCTCTTCCTTCGCTCAGCCTTACCTATGGTCCAGCTCTCACATCTATCAGTTACTACAGGGAATACCATTGCTTTAACTATGTGGATCTTCATTGCCAAAGTGATGTCTCTTCACTATTTTATCAAGATTGGTCATTGCTCTCCTCCCAAGAAGGAAGCGTCTCCTGATTTCCTGGCCACAGTCTGCGTCTGCAGTCATCTTTGCACCTAGAAATACAACGTCTGTCACTGCCTCCATGTTTTCTCCCTCTATTTGCCAGTTGTCAATCATTCTTGTCGCCATAATCTTGGTATTTTTTATGTTTAGCTGCAACCCAGCTTTTGCGCTTTCTTCTTTCACCTTGATTAGAAGGCTCCTCAGCTCCTCCTCGCTTTCGGCCATCAGAGTGGTGTCATCTGCATATCTAAGGTTGTTAATGTTTCTTCCAGCAATTTTCACCCCAGCTTTGCATTTGTCAAGTCCCTTATTAGTTAACACCCCACCCGAGTTATGCTCAGTTTTTTGGTGACACACCAAGCTCAACAGGTTGCCCACCACTGCCCTAAACTTTCATGGGAAACTTCCTGGTAGCGTTGCGAGAATGGGTCTTAATTTTCCTTCTGCTTTATTTCCAACAGGTAATGAATGGGAAAGTGAGAATGAGGAGCAACTAGGTGAGGGTTCCTCAGAAAAAACAGAGGGTGAAGCATTGAAGGAGAATATTTGGAGCCAAGATGGGCCAGCAGGAGAAGACAGAAGCCACACGGAGGAGCCGAAAGCCAAATCCTTCCCATTTCAGGTGGGAGACTTCCATGAAATCTCAGTTCAGCAGGCAAGCAAAACAGAAAAACAGGGGACTGCTTTCTCCAGTGTTCATAGTAGACTTTGCCCAGAGGACGAATCAGATTTTATGTTTGCAAAGATTGTCAATCAGAGTGGAAACCTCACGCTTTATGAAGGGACGAGTTCCAACATAGACCTGAATCAGAGTATTTCTGCAGATGAGAGACAGTGCATCAATCCAGATCTTGGTAAGATAAAGCATCCAAGGATCCAAAAAGGGGAGAAGCTGTTTAAATGTTTGGAGTGTGGGAAATGCTTTGGTCGAAGCGCCCACCTCACATCACACCAAACCATCCACGCGGGAGGGAAACCGTACCACTGCTCCAAATGTGGGAAAAGCTTCAACAAGACTGTCAACTTCTTGAGGCATCAGAAGATCCACAAGGGAGAGAAGCCACACCGCTGCCCGGATTGCAGCAAAAGCTTCCCCAACAAGTCGAGGCTCAGGAAGCACCAAAGAGTGCACACAGGGGAGAAGCCCTATCAATGTTCAGAATGTGGGAAAAGTTTCAGCCACCGAGGAAGCCTTAGTGTCCATCTACGGATACACACCGGGGAGAAGCCGTATCCCTGCTCCGAATGTGGCAAGAGGTTCCGCGACCAGTCCAGCATTATTAGGCATAAGAGAATCCACACCGGAGAGAAACCGTACATCTGTTCAGAGTGCGGGAAGGGCTTCATCCAAAGTAGCAGCCTGACTTTACATCTGAGAGCCCATGCCAAGAGAAGCAACCACACAAAACTCAGTATTTGCTGAATGCCGGCATGGCTGTGTTAGTCCTTTTACCAAATCAAACAAACAGTCTAGTGGTATCGATATAAATAAAAATGTAATGTTCGTTTGTGGGATGAACACAACTCAAAAACCACTGGATAAATTGCTGCCAAATTTGGGCACAAGACACCTACTAACCCAAGGAGTGACCATCACTAAAAAAATTGATTTTGTCATTTGGGAGTTGTAGTTGCTAAGATTTATAGTTCACCTACAATCAAAGAGTATTTTGAACCCCACCAATGAGGGAATTGAACTAAACGTGGCACAGAGGACTCCCATGACCAACAGAAAACACTAGAAGGGGTTGGTGAGCATTGACCTTGAGTTTGGGAATTGTAGTTCACCTACCTCCAGAGAGCACGGTGGATTTAAACAATGATGGATCTGGACTAAACTTGGCACAAATATTCAATGTGCCCAAATATGAACACAAATGGAGTTTGGAGAAAATAGACATTGACATTTGGGAGTTGTAGTTGCTGGGATTTATAGTTCACCTACAATCAAAGAGCATTCTGAACTCCACCAATGATAAAATTGAACTAAACGTGGCACACAGGACTCCCATGACCAACAGAAAACACTAGAAGGGTTTGGTGGGCATTGACCTTGAGTTTGGGAATTGTAGTTCACCTACCTCCAGAGAGCACGGTGGACTTAAACAATGATGGATCTGGACTAAACTTGGCACAAATATTCAATGTGCCCAAATATGAACACAAATGGAGTTTGGGGGAAATAGACCTTGACATTTGGGAGTTGTAGTTACTGGGATTTATAGTTCACCTACAATCAAAGAGCATTCTGAACCCCACCAACGACAGAATTGGGGCAAACATCCCACACAGAACCCCCTGCTTCTTTTGAGCATGCCTTGTGGAGCAAAGAGTAAGGGCGGTTCCAGACAGCCCTTTATCCCAAAAGCATCTGCGTTAAAAAAAGCGCATTTTTTGGGTGGGTTGTCTACATGTTCCCTCGGGATTAGCCCGAGAGAACATGTGGAGGCCCAACCCCGCCAAGCCCCTAGACCCCAGAAATGACACGCCAGGAGAGCAAGGGGAAGCGATTTTCCTCCCTCCTCCTCCCTGCTTTCCTGGCACATCATTTCTACACACCAATAGAGCACGCCGGGGCTTCAACTGGACAGCATGTACATTTTTCTTAATTTTCTAAGGGATCTAGGGGCTTGGGGGGAGGGGGTGGGTATTATTTAGCCTGGTAAACTGTGGGAATGCTGTCTGGACTGCAAATATTTCCAGGTCTGGACTTCAGAATTTGCTACAAGCCAGGGTTTTCCTGGTTTGTAGCAAATTAATTTGATATTGCATTTATTCCTGGTTTGTAGCAAATGAATGCGGGACTGTCTAGAACAGTGTTTCTCAACCTTCCTAATGCCGCAACCCCTTAATATAGTTCCTCATGTTGTGGTGACCCTAACCATAACATTATTTTTGTTGCTACTTCATTATTCTAATTTTGCTACTGTTATGAATCATCATGTAAATATCTGATATGCAGGATGTATTTTCATTCACTGGACCAAATTTGGCACTAATACTCGATATGCCCAAATTTGAATACTGGCAGGGTTAGTGGGATTGATTTTGTTATTTGAGAGTTGTTGCTGCTAGGATTTATAGTTAACCTGCAATCAAAGAGCATCCTGAACTCCACCAACGATGGAATTGAACCAAACTGACCAACAGAAAATACTGGAAGGGTTTAGTGGGCATTCACCACGAGTTGTAGTTCACCTACATCCTGGACCAAACTTGCCAGGAATACTCAATATGCCCAAATGTGATCACCAGTGGAATTTGAACCCCACCAACAATAGAATTGGTCCAAACTTCTCACCAAGAACCCCCATGACCAACAGAGCAAGTCTCAAGAAATATAAGAATAATAATACTTTATTTATATTCTGCCCTATCCAAAGGAGCCTCCACCACACTCCGAGGCAGAGAGTTCCACTGCTGAACAGCTCTCACAGTCAGGATGTTATTCCTTATGTTCAGAGGGAATCTCCTTTCTTGAAGTTTGAAGTCATTGTTCCACATCCTAGTCTCCAGGGAAGCAGAAAACAAGCTTGCTCCCTCCTCCCTGTGGCTTCCCCTCACCTCTTGATCCATGGCTATCATGTCTCCTCTCAGCCTTTTCATCTTCAGGCTAGACATGCCCAGCTCTTTAAGCCACTCCTCATAGGGCTTGTTCTCCACACCCTTGATCATTTTAGTCGCCCTCCTGTGAACACATTCCAACTTGTCAATATCTCTTTTCAATTGTTGTGCCCAGAATTAGACACAATATTCCAGGTGTGGTCTGACCAAGGCAGAATACAGCACGGGTAGCATTACTTCCCTGGATCAGAGAGTAAAACTACTTGTTCTTTACTGATCATCTGTGTGGCATATTTTCTTTCTCTGGCAAGTCATTGTGTGGACTGATTAAAACATGAACTATGTGTGATTTTCATTCTGCAACAACAGAGACACAAAATCACCAAAACTGTCTGCAGTGACTTTGGAAAGCCACTTCCAAAAAATTAAATTAAAAGGCGGGATTTCAACTGATTAAGGAAATAACTCAATATATATATCTTAGACAACAAGTACAGTCGAATAATTTAGCAAATGGTGAATGGGCAAAAAAGACGAAAGGCTACTTTGATGGCTTTTATTTGAAAGTAGACAGTGCTAACAGATGATAAGCTGCCAATGAAGGTCAGAGAAGATATCTTCAACACTACAGCTTTCCCAGCAATCTTACATGCATCTGAAACTTGGGAAACAACCAAGTTCGAGGAGGAAAAAGTAAATTATAAATAAATAAATAAAATCAAAATTGTTTAATACTCCTGGGCTTTGTACAATGCTACTTTTCCTTTTCAAAATGTATGCTTATAATTTTAGTTATTGACGATATTAAAAAAACAGGAAAATGTGTCTGTTTATGCGATTGGTGGGAACGAGAGACAGGGCCTTCTCGGCGGTGGCCCCCTGCTATGGAATACCCTCCCTCTTAACATTTCGAAAAAGAGTTAAAACCTGGCTCTTTGAGCAAGCATTTGCAAATGCAGTGTAACAGACTAATCTAGATCTATGGAATGATTGTACGATGCGACGGAAAAATGATTTTAGTAATGAGACGCTGAGGACTTGTGTTTTATGGCTTTTATTGTTTCTACTGCTTTTGTAGGGTCAATATTATATGTTAATGTTTTTAAATTATATTTTATGTTGTTGCTGATTGTAAGCCACCTCAGGTCGCCTTCAGACTGCGAGGGGCGGTATATAAATATGGTAAATAAATAAATATTTACTTACAATATTTCCATCCTGCCTTTCTCAGCCCGAAGGCGACTCAAGGCGGCGTACAAATTGGCAGCAATTCAATGCCATAATAATCATAAAATACAACTAAAAACATTTAGAACATTATAAAAAATCCATATAGAAACCATGGAAAACATATAATGAGTGACCAATGTCTCCCTGTTAATCTCATTTTTCAGTAGCATCTTCTAAGCCGGTCCATATTTCACTCTTTCATAGTTCCATGTTTATCAATTACGCTGCATTACCAAAGGCATGCTCAAAGAGCCAGGTTTTTACTTTTTTTCGGAAAGTGAGGAGGGAGGGGGCCAATCGAATATCCCACGGAAGGGAGTTGCACAGCTGAGGGGCCACCGCTCGATTAAGGAATAAGTCTCATATTGGAAGGAAGAGGGGCCGACCAAGAGCAAGATGGATGGATGGCATCCTTGAAGTGATTGGACTGACCTTGAAGGAGCTGGGGGTGGTGACGGCCGACAGGGAGCACTGGCGTGGGCTGGTCCATGAGGTCACGAAGAGTCCGAGACGACTGAACGAATGAACAACAACATAATAATGAAGTAGTAAAAAAGTAGAAAAAAATAAAAAACCCGAAAAAATCAAGTTTGTTTAATGAAATAAAGTAAAAGAATTAAATCGTAAAATTAGTAAAAATAGTAAAAATTACAAAATTACCTAGATGCTCAAAATTCTCTATTGATTTGCATTGTAAAATAATAATAATAAAAAAACAAAAAACACTTCGTAAATGTCAAAGTTAGAGCAAATCCCAGTCAAGGTATATTCCAAACAAAGATTTTGGAAGCAATGTCCAGCCACTGCCGGGGTTATTTCACTAACCCACAGCCTTTTGTGTGAATCAGCGTCTTCAGCAAGAGGTCAGCTGTAAGTACCCCTGAACTTCAGGCTCCGTCTTCCCTGACTGTTTTTTGCTCCTTGCAACTTCTCCCTTTTACTACTTCTTACTTTTGCTTTTATTTATTTATTTACAGTATTCATATTCCGCCCTTTTCATCCTGCAGGGGACTCAGGGCGGATTACAATGTACACATATATGGCAAATATTCAATGCCAAAGACACACAACAGATAGAGACAAACAGTCAGAGGCTATTTAACTTTTTCTGGCCGCCAGCATCGTCCATCTGCAACACTGATGAAGTACTGCCGCATTCCCCGCATGCTTTTTGTTGGAGTGCTTTGTGGAGTCTTTTTTATGGCCTCGTACATTTTGTTAAATTAGCCTCCTCACACAAAGGTGGTACCTGATTTTCCTACTTGAAAGATGAAACTTTCTTTCAGGTTGCAAAGGTCGACAACAAGCTACACAATTGGTTGGAAGCTCACTCCGACCCAGGCTGGCTTCGAACTCATGACCTTGTGGTCAGAAGTGATCTTAATGCAGCTGACACTCAGACAGCTGCACCACAGTTTTAGTTCAACTCCTTCTTGGCATCAGGTTACTTCTCACAACAAACAAACAAGAGCATGTGAGACTCCAGCCAGCACGGGGCCGCCACTCCACCCATATACAAAGATGGGTCCTTTTTTTAAAAAAAGAGGAATTAGGGTACACTACTTAACATTGACCTGTGTCAGTGTAACTCAGGATTTTTGGGTTGATTTTTTGACTAGGATTTCTAGACTTCTACATGGGTAGACAGTGCAAGGGTTCCCAAAGTAAGGCCCAGGGACTGCATGCAGCTTTTCACAGTCGGTTACCCAGCCCCTGCCCTCAACTTTGGTCTCAGGACTGCCCTAAATCTGAAAAGACTTAAAGGTACACAACAACCATCTTAATTAACTTAGAATCATAGAGAGACCTCGTGGGCCATCCAGTCCAACCCCCTGCCAAGAAGCAGGAAGATCGCACTCATCAGCCCAAAGCAGGTCCACACTTTTGTCAGAACATGGGTGTTTATGTAGAGTGAAATATTGCTTGTAGTTTAAACTGTGTTGATGTAGCAGTGCAAGAAGTAAATGCATAGAGCTGTGATGTACTGCCTTTGAAGAAGCCGGATGCCAGAGAACAATGTGATTGGACGTGATTTATTCTGCTCCTGTATATAGTTTCTAGCACAGATTGTAATAAAGGAAAGTACCGCTTTGGAACTTGAATCTGATTTAAGTAGCACACTTTGTTATTCCTTCATGTCTCCAGTGGCTGTTGGGAGATCCAAGAAGTATTGAGATAAGAGAGAGGTAATTTATCTCAATAAATTAACAACTTTCAATTAAAATACATTTTAAATATTGTATTGTCGAAGGCTTACATGGCCGGAATCACTGGGTTGTTGTAGTTTTTTTTGGGCTATATGGCCATGTTCTAGAGGCATTCTCTTCTGATGTTTCACCTGCATCTATGGCAAGCATCCTCAGAGGTTGTGAGGTCTCGGAGGTTACGAGGACCTCACTACTTCTGAGGATGCCTGCCATAGATGCAGGCGAAACGTCAGGAGGGAATGCCTCTAGAACAGTGGTTCTCAACCTGGGGTCCCCAGATGTTTTGGCCTACAACTCACAGAAATCCCAGCCAGTTTACCAGCTGTTAGGATTTCTGGGAGTTGAAGGCCAAAAACATCTGGGGACCCCAGTTTGAGAACCACTACTCTAGAACATGGCCATATAGCCCGGAAAAACCTACAACAACCCATTTTAAACATTGTTTTGTTATTTGCATTACAAATAAGATATGTTCAATAGGCATAGGAATTGGTTCATGATTTTTTCAAACTATAGACTGGACCCCCAAGAGTCTGAGGGACCGTGCACTGGCCCTCTGCTTAAAACTTTCAGGACACCTGATATAGGGTATTTATTTTTAAGATGTTACTAGACTTTTTGTTAGTTTGGGTGAAAAGACTAACACAGCCATGCGGGCGTTCAGCCAATGCTGAGTTTCGAGGGGCAGCTTCTCTTGGCATGGATTCTCTGATGTAAAGTCAGGCTGTAACTTTGGCTGAAGCCCTTCCCGCACTCTGAACAGGTGTACGGTTTCTCTCCGGTGTGGACTCTCTTATGCCTGACAAGGATGGATTGGTTGCGGAAACTCTTTCCGCACTCTGTACATTTATAGGCCGTCTTCCTCGTGTGCACTCTTTGGTGCTCAATGAGCGTTGGCTTGTCGTCAAAACTTTTGGTGCAATCCAGGCAGCGGTATGGTTTCTTCTCCTTGTGAATCTCCTGATGCCTAAGCAAGTGGGCACTCCGAACAAAGCATTTCCCGCATGCCAAGCACTCATGCGGCTTCTCTCCCGTGTGGATGATTTCATGTGACTTGAGATGGTCCTTCCGACCAAAGCATCTCCCACACTCCAAACATTTATACAGGTTATCCCTTTTTCGGATCCTTGGATGCTTCATCTTCTTAAGATCCAAATTCATACACTGTCTCTCATTTGCAGAAATATTTTGATTCAATAACTCTGAACTCGTCCCTTCATAAAGCATTTCATATTCAGTAAGGTTTCCACTCTGATTGAAGTCCTTTTCAAACATTAAATCTGATTCGCCCTCAGGGTAACTTCTACAATGAACATTGGGGGAAGTCATCTCTTTTTTTTCTGTTTCACTTTCCTGCTGGACTGAGATTTTGTGCAAGACTTCCACCTGAAATGGGAAGGATTTGACTTCCAGCTCTTCCTGGTGGCTTCCATCTTGACTCGATGGCCCACCTTGGCTCCAAACATTCTCCTTCAATGCTTCACACTCTGTCCTTTCTGAGGAATCCTCATCCAATTGCCTCACATTCTCACTTTTCCATTCATCACCTGTTGGAAATAAAGCAGAGGCAAATTAAGGCCCATTCTCAGGAAGCTTCCCAGGAAGGTTTAGAGGGAACAAGACACAGTGGTTGATCCCAAGTATTTGGAAAGTCCGATAAAATTTCTGAATATTGAATAAGAGCCCAAAGGAAAATTAAACCCTATACTGTTTTTCTATTTTTTCCCTTTCCTTCCATTCCTCGCACAGCATCCATTTCTGTGGTTCAACAGAGGAGTTGTGTGCTCCCTGAGCACTGCTCCTGTTAGTATCCTGGCTGCCGAACGTTGGACCATTTGAAGCTTCCGGACAGTCTTCAAAGGCAACCCCATATAGAGAGCATTGCAGTAGTCTATACGGGATGTAACCAGAGCGTGGACTACCGTGGCCAAGTCAGACTTCTCAAGGTATGGGCGCAGCTGGTGCACAAGTTTTAACTGTGCAAATGCTCCCGTGGTCACCGCTGAGTCCATACCGGAGAGAAACCGTACACCTGTTCAGAGTGCGGGAAGGGCTTCAGCCAAAGTTACAGCCTGACTTTACATCAGAGAATCCATGCCAAGAGAAGCTGCCCCTCGAAACTCAGCATTGGCTGAACGCCCGCATGGCTGTGTTAAGTCTTTTCACTCAAAATAACAAAAATAAATACCCTCTATCAGGCGTCCTCAAGGTTTTCAGCAGAGGGCCAGTTCACGGTCCCTCAGACTCTTGGGGGTCCAGTCTATAGTTTGAAAAAATCATGAACTAATTCCTATGCCTACTGAACATATGTTATTTGTAGTGCAAATAACAAAACAATGTTTAAAATGGGTGGTTGTATGTTTTTTCGGGGGTTCCAGGCTCAGCGATGAGTCCAAGATCACACCCAAGCTGCGAACCTGCGTCTTCCTTTCCTTCTTTCTTTTTGCACTACAAATGTGATATATGCAGTGTGCATAAGAATTTGTTTTTTCAATTAGTTCACACAAACACTCTCCATCCATCTGCCACTGGCCCGGCCCATCTGTGAAATTTTGAAACACAATGCATCAAAATGTTTGTCCATGCTTGAGATAGATAGATACACACACACACACACACACATTTATTATATATATATCCACAGACACACACACACACATTTATTATTTTTTCATGATAAATTTTTGCATCAAAAAGGGCTCAGCAGCTAAAGTTGAAGGCAAAAACATCTAAGGATCCACAGGTTGAGAACCACTGGTTTAAGGAAAGGCCCTACTCAGGGGGAGAAGCAGTCACAGTGCTGTGGTTAGTTGAGGAAGAGTATCACCTACATCCAAAGACGCGAACAGCCCATGGCCCTATACCCCGAAACAGCTAGCCCTAGAACATGGCCCTATACCCCGAAAAAACCCACAAGAACCTAAACAGCCCATTCTTCTTACCCAACGGTCCAGCATCCCCGCCATCATCTTCCTGTTTGATCTCCATACTAAGCTTCTTCTGCTCAATCTCAGGCAGGGCTTGGCCAGCTTCAGGTGAACCCACCATCTCCTCTCCCTGTAATGGCATCTAAAATATTGATCAGTTACAATCTCACGTATATGGATTTTCTCTGCTCTACATAGTCCTCAAAATATTTGAGAGGTAGGTCACGGCCAGAGAAAATAACTGGCACATGGTCATACAATGTGTTTCATGGTCCAGAAGGCACTTCAATCCATATCTCATAGTCACAATCCTACATTAAACTTACTGCCTGGGCTTATGATGGGGGCTGCATTTGCTCTTTGCAGGGTGCTCTTCACCCCCACTGTATTTCAACTTTTTCTTAAATTGGAAACTCAGTATGCCCACCTTCTCATGGGAATTTGGGAGGCAACTTTGCCACGTTTTTCTCCCCCCATGGCTGTTTCAGGCACAAAAAAGGCCTTTTTAAAACCATAAAGTAAATTTAAGAGTTAACTATTGGGGCAGAGGAGATACTGGGAGACCTAAGAAGGCTCAAAGATAGTCCCATACAGGCTATATTTTACTTACTCCAGACCTAAACGAAGAAGATCTGTTGGCACCTTGCACAAAGCAGCCCTTTTGGAAGCCTGGAACCCAATGAACAGTCCTCACCTGGTTTGCCTGCCTCTTGGCCTCTTGCTGCTTCTGGAGAAAGTCCTCCGCCAAGGCCACGGCCTGGGAGCAAGTCTCTGGACCACATTCCTTGACCCAGGCCTCTATCTCTGGAGGCAGGACAGCCAAGAACTGCTCCAAGACCAGTAGCTCCAGGATCTGCTCCTTCGAATGCCTTTCCACTTTCAGCCACCGGCAACATAGTTTCTGAAGCTGGCCATAAGTCCCTCTCGGCCCCTCAGCCTCTTGGTAGCAAAAATGTCTGAAACACTGCCGCTGCGCCTCCTGCCGCATGGCGTCCCCATGCAAGATGGCAGCCTTCACTTTCCCATAATCCTCCCTGCTTTCAACCTCCAGGCCGGTGAAGGCCCGCTTGGCCTCTCCGCTCAATGCTGGGAGGAGCCTGGGCACCCACTCTTCCTTGGGCCACCGGCAGGCTTGGGCCACTTGCTCAAAGGAGGCCAGGAAAGCTTTGGCATCATCCCATGGCTCCTCCCTTGACTCTGAGGTCCCCGAGTTTGGGTGAGGGCCTTCCAGGCTCTTCAATAACTCCTGCCATTTGGTTTCCCACTGCTGAAGCGAGTCTTTGTCGTGCTCTTGTTTCACCTCCGTTGGTCTCCTTGGCAAGAATGCCTCCGTCATCCCAACATGGCAGCTCCCTCTTAAATCCCGTGGCACCTGCCCTGGTAAACAACTTGTAAAGTCTTCTCGGGTTTCCATTTTCATCCTGGGACAATACTAGCCTGAAATGGTGAGAAATGCTAGACTCTACTGCAGCAATCTAAACATCTGTGTGGAACCTTCTGTCAGCAGATCTGAAAGAAAAAGAATATTACACAACATTCACATTTTAAATAGGCAGAGTTATGAACACAAAGATGCAGGACTGGAATGAAACTGAACATTGAATAACTAAGAATGAAAAGGAGGGAGAAGCCGGCCTGGAGGCTGGAGGCCCCTCGATGGCTGCATACCATTGAATAGCATGGAGGGCCTGGAAACGCCCAAGGGGACGATTCCTCCAGGAGGATGCCGTCACGGTAAGCGCCAGTGGATCATGGTCCCTGGGAACATCTGAACATTAGGAAGAACTTCCTGACTGTGAGAGCCGTTCAGCAGTGGAACTCTCTGCCCCGGAGTGTGGTGGAGGCTCCTTCTTTGGAGGCTTTTAAACAGAGGCTGGATGGCCATCTGTCAGGGGTGCTTTGAATGCAGTTTTCCTGCTTCTTGGCAGGGGGTTGGACTGGATGGCCTACCAGGTCTCTTCCAACTCTAGGATTCTATGATTCACTTTACATGAGAAGAAATGCCGCTCCATTTTGAGGTTAATCAGTCCTCCATCACTTCTCATAGTTCCTTCACTCTTCCAGATGTTTGGACTGCAACTTCCATCAGTACAATCAGTGGAGAGGAATGCTGGGATCGGGAAGGAGAAACCAATAGGATCGGGAAGGAGAAACCATTCCCAGCTCTGTCTCAAAGGTTTGGAGGGCATTCTCTGTGTTTGCAAGCATTGGCTTTCTGGGAGACATCACATTCGCTATGAAAAACTCTCTAGGACTCTTTAGGTCCTCCAGCAGAACTCTAAAGTAGGAGAAGGGGCTGGACTGGATGGCCTCTGGGTGCCCCTTTCTCCTCTGTGGCTCCCACTTTTCCTTATTAAAGAATCACTTCTCTGCTCCTCATCAACTTTTATTATTTGTTTCCTTATTACCCTTCTTTTCCTCGCATAATTAGGACCCAAAGCAGCTCACAACTTAAAAAAAACCAGACAACTAAAAACATGCAAAAAGTAAATTTTGAAATTGAATTAAACTGGTCACAGTAATCGAGGGTTCATCTACACTGGCGAATGAATGCAGGTTGGTGCCCATTTTAACTGCCAGGGCTCAATGTTATAGAATCAGGGCAGCTGTAGTTTGGGGAGGAAAAGGCCTTGCAAAACTGCAATTCGCAGGATGCCCCAGCATGGAGCCAGGGCACCTTCAGGGGTGTGAAGTTCACTCCTTTATCCCAGAACACTCCAGTTGCAACCCTCCTGCTCTTCCTCATCCTGCTCCAAAAGGAGGAGAAGCAACATTTCCCCTGTCCTTTCCTTTCCTGGAATATTGTGTCCAATTCTGGGCACCACATATGAAGGGAGATATTGACAAGCTGGAATGTTTGTCGTCTGTTTTTATATTGTTCATATGGTTTTATACTGTTTATACTGCTTATATTGCTATATTATTACATTGTTGTTAAATTGTATATTCATGTTTTGATGTGGGTGCCGGTTTGTTAGCCCGCCTGAGTCTGGAGAAGTTGAGATAGGACGGGATACAAAAGCCCTAAACAAAATAAATAAATAAAGTGTCCAGAGAAGGGCAATAAAATTATTAGGGGTCTGGAGAACAAGCCCTATGAGGAGCGGCTTAAAGAGCTGGGCATGTTTAGCCTGAAGAAGAGAAGGCTGAGAGGAGACATGATAACCATGTATAAATATGTGAGAGGAAGCCACAGGGAGGAGGGAGCAAGCTTGTTTTCTGCTTCCTTGGGGACTAGGACGGGGAGCAATGGCTTCAAACTACAAGAGAGGAGATTCCATCTGAACATGAGGAAGAACTTCCTGACTGTGAGAGCCGTTCAGCAGTGGAACTCTCTGCCCCGGAGTGTGGTGGAGGCTCCTTCTTTGGAAGCTTTTAAACAGAGGCTGGATGGCCATCTGTCAGGGTGCTTTGAATGCAATATTCCTGCTTCTTGGCAGAATGGGGTTGCACTGGATGGCCCATGAGGTCTCTTCCAACTCTTTGATTCTATGATTCCTTTTGCGCCAACTGCGACCGTACCTTGGGAAGTCTGACTTAGCCACGGTAGTCCACGCTCTGGTTACATCCCGCCTTGATTACTGCAACGCTCTCTACGTGGGGCTGCCTTTGAAGACAGCCCGGAAGCTCCAACTAGTCCAACGGGCGGCAGCCATGGTACTAACTGGAGCGGGGCACAGGGAGCACACAACTCCTCTGTTGCGCCAACTCCACTGGCTGCCGATATGCTACCGGGCTCAATTCAAAGTGTTGGTTTTGGCCTTTAAAGCCCTAAACGGTTCTGGCCCAACTTACCTATCCGAACGTATCTCAGCCTATCAGCCCGCCAGGGCCCTAAGATCTTCTGGAGAGTCCCTGCTCTCTATCCCGCCGGCTTCCCAAGCGCGGCTGGTGGGAACGAGAGACAGGGCCTTTTCTGTGGTAGCCCCTCGGCTTTGGAACACCCTCCCTTCAGAGATACGATCGGCTTCTTCGCTGATGGTTTTCCGGAAGAGGTTAAAAACATGGCTGTGTAGTCAAGCGTTTAACTAGTTATCAAACACTGAATCCATGGACAATTTGGACTGGTCAATTACGGACAACGATCTCTGGACTGCGATTTTTGTGATGAGAAGCATGAAGTTTTATTGGTGGCCCAATAATTCGTATTGTTTTATATGTTGCTGTTTTTAAATTGTATATTGCTTTTATCTGTTGTTAAACCGCAATGAGTCGCCGTTCCAGGCTGAGATACTGCGGTATATAAGTGTATTAAATAAATAAATAAATAAATCATCCCTCCAAGCAGTCCGGCTCAGGTGTTTCACCTTTTCTTCCAAAATCCTCCAAGACAGGAAAGCCAAAGGCAGGAGTTCCCCAAGAAGCCGCTTTTGGAGGAGAAGCCCAACCAGGAAGAGGAGGACACAGCCCACATCCGGGCAAAACACAACACTGCCGGAAGTCCTCTCTAGCCACTTGTAGTTCCAGATCTCGAAGGTTTGCCTTCAAGCAGCCGTTGGTCCTCCAAGCCTTGGACTTCAACTCCCAGAAGCCTCCGCTTCCTTGGAGCAGGATTTCTGGGAACTGAAGTCCAAAACTGCCTGGAAGAGCAGAGTTTGGGAAACACTGGCTTTGGAAGATGAGAGGAAATGCTTTTCTCAGCAGGGAGGAAATTCCCCTGTTAATGGTTTAATGAAGTGGAGGCTCCTTCTTTGGAGGCTTTTAAACAGAGGCTGGATGGCCATCTGTCAGGGGTGATTTGAATGCAATATTCCTGCTTCTTGGCAGAATGGGGTTGGACTGGATGGCCCATGAGGTCTCTTCCAACTCTTTGATTCTATGAAAGCACCCCTGACAGAGGGCCATCCAGCCTCTGTTTAAAGTACTTTTTCCAGCTTACCCATAAGAAGAAGTGCCAGTAAGGACTGTTGTTTTAATTTATTTATTTATTCTTGAATTTTTATTTATTATTTTGTTTTGTTTGAATTATTCCTGGATTTTTAGTAACATCTCCATCGGGTTGTTGGAGGTTTTTTCGGGCTATATGGCCATGTTCTAGAGGCATTCTCTCCTGACGTTTCGCCTGCATCTATGGCAAGCATCCTCACACCTAGCTCCAGCAGACAAGAGTCCTTTGTCCCACCCTGGTCTTTCCACAGATATATAAACCCTTTTTCCTAGTTCCAACAGACCTCACTACCTCTGAGGATGCTTGCCATAGATGCAGGCGAAACGTCAGGAGAGAATGCCTCTAGACCATGGTCATACAGCCCAAAAAAACCTATAACAACCCAGTGATTCCGGCCATGAAAGCCTTTGACAATACTGGCCATGTTCTAGAGGCAGTCTCTCCTGACGTTTCGCCTGTATCTATGGCAAGCATCCTCAGAGGTAGTGAGCTAGCTCCAGCAGACAAGAGTTCTTTGCCCCACCCTGGTCATTCCACAGATATATAAACCCATTTTCCTAGTTCCAACAGACCTCACTACCTCTGAGGATGCTTGCCATAGATGCAGGCGAAATGTCAGGAGAGAATGCCTCTAGAACATGGCCATATAGCCCGAAAAACCTACAACAACCCAGTGATTCCGGCCATGGAAGCCTTCGACAATATATTGAACATCTCCATCGTTCCTGTATTCTACTAGCGGTCCCCTGCCACACATTGCTGTGGCCCAGTCTGTATATGTGTATGTTTGCATGTGTGTGTGTGTGTGTGTGCGTGTGGTTTTGCGCATGCATTGTAATGTAATTTTTTGGTTTTTTTGGCTTTTTAAGTTTCTTCCGCTGTGTTTTTCAGTGTTTTTATGAGTGATGGTCATTCATTGGCCTGATAGGTGTATTATGTCCAAATCTGGTGTCAATTCATCCAGTGGTTTTTGAGTTATATTAATCCCACAAACAAATATTACATTTTTTATTTATATAGATTAATTTTTTTTAAAAAAATGTCTTTTTCATTGTCATTTCAATCTCCAAATTTTCTCTCTGGCTGAACTTTATCTGCTCTTTTTTTGTGTTCAGTTATTGCGATTTTATATTGTTTGTTGTGTTTATATAGTTTCTTGTATTTTATTTATTTTTTCTTTATATTTTACTGTTGTATTCCTATGTTGTATATCTGTATTGCTGCATTGCTGGGCTTGGCCTCATGTAAGCTGCCCCAAGTCCCCTTGGGGAGATGGTGGAGGGGTATAAATAAAGTTTTATTATTCACCTCTCAACAAAAGTTTGCTCTAGGCACTGTCATGCCATTATATACTAATCAAGTTGGTCAGTTGAAACATTCACACCTAGCTCCAGCAGACAAGAGTTCATTGTCCCACCCTGGTCATTCCACAGATATATAAACCTTTTTCCTAGTTCCAATAGACCTCACTCCCTCTGAGGATGCTTGCCATAGATGCAGGCGAAACGTCAGGAGAGAATGCCTCTAGAACATGGCCATATAGCCCGAAAAAACCTACAACAACCCAGTTTTATTATTATTTATTATTATTAAACTTGTGCTGCTAAAATTGCCTGTAGATTGAGGATGT